TCCCCTTTCCTCGTCATCTCACAATGACAGGCTGGTGAATTGAAGGTCTCCAAGAGCACTACTAGCTGTATTTTCAATCCGGGCTAGATTTTGCTCATCAACAGTTGTCACAAGACCAAGGAATCCTACAAAAAGAACAACCTAAGCCTCAGCTTTTAGCTGGTCCCCAGTTGGACTTTACCTGTCAGTCTCAGTGTTACCAAACACAGCATGCACCACATACTTACCTAAGAGAATTTATCTGACTTCCTGGAATATTTAAGGTGAAATGATCTGAGAAGCTGTGTGGTGGGTTGATGCTGATCATTTGAGATTTCCCCAGTTATAATGTCATTATTAGCTTTTAAGGCACAGCAGCCAGGGAATGCAAATAACACATTATTGACCTGCTGTCATTAACTGTCTGCATTTAAAGACACTGCTTAGAGCAAATAACCTGCTGTGATGCCCATTCAGGCTTGGAAAATGACTGAGGGAATTGAGACTTTCAAAGATGCCAGGAGAGCAGAGTTTCATTATAACAACACAACAAGCCTATTACTAAAATGTATAATGCATTTGAAATCTGTTTGCTCCTGTTTCCGTGTTTCAGTCACCATCAAATTGTTATTTAACTGGTTCATTTACAAATATGAACCTAATATGAATGTAAAATCAGCAGCTTAATGAAGTGGTAGTGAGGGGACATTCTGTTTCAGCAGCTGGAATCAAATCTAGTGAACCAGCAGGCAATGAAGAAAACAGCTTGATGTCATAGGTGCTCAGAGAAACAATTTCACTGCTATTTGAATAATCTTCAGGCATTGTGGACATAATATGTAGTGATATTATTATGTGACTGTGCAATGGGAAAAGTTTAATTAGGTTTTGGCACAAGAACAAAACAATCCTGACCAACATGTGTATCATCATCAGGGCAAATCCACCTTGACCTACAGTCTAGACTTTGTAGTTTCTATAAAACCAGCTTGTTCTTAGTCCCAGGACTATGTCATATTTTCTAAGCTGCTGCCATGTCACAGATATGTGCAGAATGTTCTCACACTCTATGCAATTTGGCATAATTTCAGTGATGTATGTAGCTTATAGCAACATTAGGGGCATATTTTAGTAAAAGATCCTTATTTGGACAAAACCCAACTGAGATTTTTGTGACTAAACCTCAACCGGCAAATAAAAATGAAATGAATGAATCTAAGTGGAAAAAAGTGCAAAACATGAAGGTCTAAACAGGAAATAAACTGTGATCTTGAGAAGATATGACTTTTCACCATCACCTCTCGAACCTGAAAATACAGACTGAGGAGGAAAGCTGTGATCTAGACAATCAGCAATGCTGAAGTTGGTTAGAAATTGTTACTAAAAATATCACTCCGCTTCCTCCTTTATCCCTGTCATAATTGCAACACCCACTAGAGACCAATGTCTTCTGAAGACAAATGTGTTATCGTGTTTTTCACTGGTTCTTTGTTCGAATTTTATGGATCGGATTTTGCTATGAAGCCTTATTTCTAGTTTAATAGTTGGTAATAAGAAAAAGGGATCACAAGTCTTTAATGAAAATACCTGGATATTGTGGATATTAAAGCAAAACTCTGCTCACTGAAAAAACAAATTGTCAGTAGTATAATGCACTTTCAAGTTCCTAGCAGAGATAACTAGTTCTAAAAAAGAAAGAAGGTCAATCTTGGAATCCATATAGTCAATTAAATAGGGCTGTTGATTTTTGTAGCATTATTTGAAAGACAAACTATTGAATCTGTGTGCTTAATCTCAGTATGGCATCAAGTAAAATGAATAAATTCCATTTCATTTGCCTTCTTTGAAATTTCACTTCGAGGAGTTGAGGTCTGGCAGAACAGATTGCCGTCTGGAAGGAAATAACACGAGAACAAAACAGAGACTGATGAAGATTTTAATGAAATGTTCTGTTCGCTTCAAACTCCAGACGTGGCTCACTGATTGGCATTCATGCTTGAAACCTGGAAACACACGGTGTCCCAAACCAGTGCCTGACAAAAATGACAGAATGTACAGTGGAAAGTTTTACCAAGTATATCCAAATTAGGATGTTTTATGATTCATTTGAAGGGTTTATTCATGTTATTATCAAGGCTAAGAAATATATTATTCAAAATAGGGACGGAGAAACATACTTTTAGACTTACTGTAACTCCAGATTTATCAGCTGTATCTCTTACCTGTTACCTCCTAGAATTACTCTATCATTTTACTATCAGAGCAACCAAGTACATATTAAGAAATAAGACAAAAAAGAAATAGTACTACAAGACTACAAGTAAAACAGACAAAGTTTGCTTGTTTATTCCCTTGTGAAATGTAAGTTACCTATAAGCCAA